AGGATCGCCGGAGCCCAGCAGGTCAAGGCTGCGGTGGCCAGGAGTGGCCACTGCACTCCATCTGGGCGACAGAGTGAGACTCCAACTCAACAACAACAACAAAAAGAAACTAGTTCAAAGTTGTAAGAAGGGGCTAACGGGCTTTGGACCAGGGGCTCGCGCTCAGCCAGCAAAAGTCACTTTCCTGGACCTTCTGACACCCTGGCTTGACACTTCAAGAGTTTGAGATCCCTGCTGAATGCTTACGCAGGGGTCCTCTCAGTCCTGCTGGCCCCAGCCAGGCCCCACCCCCCATCAGTCTCTCCCTTGCTTGGCGTGGAGAAGGAGAGTCCTCACCGTGATAGCCTGGAAGGACCGGAACTCCAGGTAAGTGAGGTGCTGAGCCAGCTCCCCAGTCTCCAGGTGGTCGAAAAGCAAAGACACTTTGCGCTTTTTGCCCAGGCCCGGGCTGCTCATGGGAAGTGGGGGTCCAGGACCACCAGGGCTCAGGCTGGGGGCCGAGAGGGACAGGGCATTGGAGCGGTTCAGAGTTTAGGGCTGGGGGCGTGGAGGGAGGGGCAGGGAAGGGGCATGGGACTGACTCACAGGTTGGAGGAGCCTCCCAAGCTCCTCTGGGTCGAGTTGCCTTCCTGGGCCACGGTGGCCCAGAAACGGTCAATAACTTCTTCGAGCTGGGGCTCCTGGTGCATGGCCTCTGGGTGTTGCGTCAGCCAGTACCTGGGAGTGGTAGAGAGAGGGTGACGTGAGGCTGGGGTGGGTGTGGGGAGGGTCACTTGTACCAAGGACTCTCCAGGTGCTAAGTTAGGGGTCTCTGGAAGGTAAGGGTTTGGAGGGTGACCAGGCTGCAAGAGTCTCTGGAGTGAGATGGGGTCTCTTAGCGCAGGCTGGGGCGCCTATGGGAGACAGACTGGGGGCATCTCTTGGAAGTGGGATGCTGAGAAGCAGGATAGCGGGGGTTCTGAGGAACTAGATGGGGAGTTCTGGGGTGAGATTTTTTGGAGGACAGGGGAGGGGGTCTTAGAAGCTAGGCTGGAGCCGGGCTTGGTGGCTCAGCCTGTAATCCCGCACCTTTGGGAGGCTAATGTGAGTGGATTGCCTGAGCCTGCGGGTTCGAGACCCGCCTGGGCAGCGAGACCTCATCTCTACAATAA